AACCTGCGGGGAACTCTGCAAAAAACGCATCTTCGCACGGGCAGCCCGTGCGCTGGCCATTTATTTCTATTTTCGATGGTTTCGCATCAATTTAGTTTTAATGGAATCAGAATTTAAGCAACTTTTTTATAAATGTAAGAGCAAAAGCTAGCTTGAAACATTATAACACTAAGGTTTGATTTGGTCATTTAAATTATGTGACAGGATCTGTTGCCACGAATATAATTTATTTTGCAGAGTGGTATTCGTGAGATATCCAGGATACCGCAAGTTTTATTGGAAATTTCAGTATCCGGTGTTCGAGTGCTTGATGCCTTTACAAAGGTCATTATGCTTTTCATGTCTTTTTTGCACCCATGCAATACAAATCCGGGCAGCGATACACCAGACTTCCCGGTGTGGTGATGGACCATTACTAAAACTCGGCTCGGCTCGACTCCCCTCAGCCGCATCTTCTACAAGTTTTGCAAACGATTTCTTCGGGATTGCTTGCCCACCAAATGCAAGTGCGCTGATACTGGTGATGGTGGGGTAGCGGGGAGCGAGGGAGGGGGAGATTTTGGGCGCGGAGTACCAGATTGCGCTGGGAAATAAGGAATTGGGTTCAGGTGTGAAACTTTTAGTGCTGAAACGACGAGCTGTAATAAATTTCTGTGGCGATCTAATTGTAGCACTAATATATCTGAAATATTTGTAGCTACTAACAGTGGAGCATTCAATTACACAAATACAAATTGTTTGCCAGGATGAAAGAGATCTGAACTGTTTTGCTTATATATCACAGGATGGCGAAAGACATTTCTGCCATGTTTTCTGTGTTTTAACAGCAGTAAGTGTTATGAATTGATTTATTTAGTACTGCTTAAAATCAATGGTTTACGCATCACTGGGGTACTTGACAAATTCACGATGATTTCCAGCAGAAATCAAAAGAAACAAGTCCTTCATTTCGTGGGCCAGTTTTCTGACCTTTTAATTCTAGCCACATTTTCATAAGTACAGTGGCTATATTTTTTGAACAAGCATTTCAGATTAAAAATCAGATTTCAAGAGCTTCAAAATGCAAATCAAGCAGGTTCTGTAAGGATTCTCAACGCTGTTCGAACAATATAAAAGCCGGACCCCAATGCTTAATTCAAAAAGTCTTCTACTTAAAATTATAAAAGATGGTCTCCTAGAATAAGCATTTTTTAGGATGTGGCTACCGAAATCATTTTGACACTGGGACAGGCATTTGAAGTATGCTACAGGATCGCTGGTAAAACATGTGGAAGTGATGAATGAATTATTTGTTCATTTGTACTGCTTTTTACTTTCAGAGAGGAGTTCTGTTTTAAAAACAACTTTTTGAATTAGGCATAGCAAATACGCAAAGTGTTATTTATAAGGTTGCTTATTGATAGTTAGGTCAGATCTGTGAGTAAATTATTCATCGATACGGCTTTGATAAAGATTTGTTTTATCTGAAAAAAAATTGGTGTGCTC